CCTAGGCAATGCCCAACCTGGTCAACAGACAAACCAGTCAACATACAACCCAACAAATGCACAACCTGGTCAACAAATAGCTCCTCCTGTTCAGGAAACTTACCGCCGTGAGTAGATTACAAAATAGCACCTTGATGTGGACCACATAAGCATTGCCTGTACCTGGGTCTAACCGCCGTACATATCTGCAAAAAATTATCATCCATTCAAATTCTACTTATTTATTTTAAATCAACCAATTTATGAAATCCTTGCAAAACCAGTCAGTCATTATAAAAATGTGACAATTCAAAATCTATTCATAATCAACTGATTCAGAGAAAATCAAGCAATTAAATCCCTAACTTTACAGCTACTTCCAAGGTCTTTCTGCCATTTTACAGTGAACACAATCTTAGCTGCATTCCATTCACGCACACTGGCTATTTTCTGTGCACATTCAGTTAAAATTAGTCGGGCTCCTTGCCATTCTCCCATGCCAGTGTACATAAGCAACAAATACCCCGTTGCTTCTTCTAAGTAAGCCCCACAGCAATATTAACGGTTCCTCTGCGGAGTCCAATAAAACTTACTCCACTTAAACCACTACAAGAGTTACTACGGTATACTGCAACCTACCTGATGATAGCTAACATGAGCCCCTCGATGCTAAACACACCCAGATACTCTGCAGCTTCTTCACTGCTGTTGTCAAGGACTTGTCGGATGACCTGGATGGCATGCTCAATAAACAAAGTGTTGGTTTCACTCTGGACAACCTGGGAACCATGAAGAGATGATGTAAGTCACGTATACATCTCAAATTCAAAGCATCAGCCACACACTGCAAAGTTGTACAAAAATGTGAAGTAAAGCTCCACTGTTGCATCCAGGCACGGATCTAACTTTTAGGAAACAGGGGGTTGATGGGTGTACTGAAGGGATGCCCTGCTAAGGGAGTTGTCCAAAAGGTTGAACCACAGTTTGAAGTTTTCACAGGTCCTTAGCAACCAGCTAGCAACCAACTGTCCACTGCCTATCAAGGGAACTGACAAAGCCCCTATTGTTATTTAAAATTTAAACAGCTAGCGGAATCGGACTGCGGTGGCTGCAGTTGGTTCCATAGACACTTTGGAGAGCCATGGCCATCGCATCTATTTTAATTTATTGGAATCCAGTCCCCTAGCCCTTTGTTGTTGCACAAGAGTCATGTTCAGTTGACTGCGGTCCTTGAGGTCCTTCTTTATAAGTTGCACTTTTGTGCCTCAGAGTTTGTCAGTGCATGATTGGTTAGCCTAAGTTCATACACTTTGAAATAACTGGCACTGGCCAAACCCTTTCACTGCTGTAATTGCGTCAATTGTCCTCTTTCAGAAGCACAATTTAAATTCCCAACGACAGCTGGTATTCCGATCAGAGATTGCTATCCAATCTCAAAGAAATACTTTGTATAAATGTTTGAGGAGTTCCTAGTAACTGTTAACAACTACTAACAAAAAGCTTAGCCTCTGTGTTTCTCTATTTTCACTAAGTGACAAAAGTAACACAGTTATCCTTGCGCAAGTCTGGGTGTACACATGCATGCGAACGATGCTGTACATGTGCATCTACATGAACACCTGCGCACATGTTGAAATACGTAGTAAAATATATATTTTTGGGCACTGCATGGATCACCTTTGTAGCATATACAGAGTCTGCTTTTTTGTGACAGTCTGAGAAGAATTCATCGCATTTACGTCCCTGACGCTTTGAATTGCAGACGTGGTGCCCCCTTCACACATTCCGATGATAACCAGTAGATATACATGAACATGTGCATGTACATGTACACCGAGCGTCTGTCTGTGCACCATGCATAAAATGTTCAGGTTGACCGTGGTCGCTGTGGCATGCATGCTTAATTCAAGAGCATCAGCATAACGATTGCATTCATACCTGGGCTGCCTCATTAAATGTTCTTAGCACGAGTAAACTTCAACGCGGTCGCCACAGTTCCTAGCAACAGGGCTTAACCATGGTGACTGCGTGCGGTTAATCCGCGGCAACCTTTTGGACAAGTTCCTAAGGGGATCTAACTAAACTCGGTGTAATTGTTTAACTAAAGATGGATAGATGGACAAGGCAATCCTCATCCAAGACTTTTTTGGGGAGGGGGAAAGGACTACTCATTTTCTGTCATTTCACTGGTAGTTTCATTTAGTCCGGAGGGGGGAGTTTGCAACCCCCAACCCCTCTTCTAGATCCACCTTTGGCATCATTGCTGACCTCAACTGAGAAAAAACCTGGTGAGATTATTAGATTGGGAGGTTTTCCCTACTTATAAATATATCTGACATGGTACCATTTGCTCATTGACTTTTAACCAAGCAACCAAACCTGGCAAGCGCAATCATGGCACGATAAGCAGAAGGCTGTGGGTTCCAATCCAACCCAAGCTTGTAAGATTTGTTCACAAGTTTTCAGACTAAATTGGGTTCACAACTATGCATCGGTGAAGGGCGAATGTCTCGGTGTGAAACTCTGCATTTTCCCTTCTTTTCGCTCACTCAGCACTGAGTTGTAACTTCAACATCATCCGGGTTTCAGGTTTTAAAAAAAGCTTACCTGACCGTTGGGACTGAAGAACTTCTCAATATGCTCTTTAACAAGCTCAAAGAGGTGTGGATACAGAGCAGGATGTAGTTCATTGCCAATCAAATCCTTCACGGAATCTCGGATCTGACAAAAAGAAGTCATACAAATACCATTACAAAGTCTGATGCAACATTGTAAGACAACTTGATTGCACAACCTGGCTGAACCCAGCTCGGCTAATAACGGCACTTTTTATCCTACCTTTCCTGCACAGCCAGAAACCGACTCAAAAACTTAAAAAGACAAAGTGAATATGACAACACAAACTTCTGTAAAGGTATTTTGCTGAACCTCCCTTTAAACTTAAAGAAAAATATCAATACCAAGATCTAAGACTAACAAGATGGAATCCATAAAGCATTTGGAATTGAGGTTGAAGTTGTCACAGGCATGGAGTGACATAGCCACGATGGAAAATGTTCTCTTTACCTGTGGTCCAAGTCTTTCATTACTGCATACTAACAGCTTGAGCAGACATGCAATGAACCTGAAATAATCAATTGACAATCAATTAACAAAGGCATGAAAGGACTGGTAAATATTCACATTAAAAAAAACACACTTTAATATATTTACAAAAATACAATTGGAAAACTGTGTTTTAACATTGCATTTGAAGAAAAGGCATCATTTGTGTTTGCTCCTTTGTTCTGGGGCCAAGGTTTAACCAACAAGAACAATGAACCACTTGGGTCTTTTCTGTGTTCCTCATTCTGTCTGTCACATGTATTCCATTTTATGATTTTGATTCCATTTTTTGATTTTGAATTTTTAATACCGGTCCTTGCTTCAACACATCTGTGCAAGGAAGCATCTTTGCTCCACCAAAATTTATCACTCCCAGCTTAACCCAAGGAACATAACATCCTTGTGCTGAGAAACGGGATACTAGACCAACTGAACTATTAGTCCAAATCTATCTATAAATATCCCAGATCAAGAAGTGTTAGTTTTAACACACCGATGCATACTTGTATATACTCACTCGTTGACAGCACACGGCTTCTCTGCTGAGGCTGGTCCATTGCTGGACATGGGAGATGTCCTCGGTGAGATTTCATAGGAAGATTCGTATCTGTGGGAACATAAAACAATGGAATTCATTCACAAGGCAGGCATTTACAAATGTGTTCCCTGAATGTATCGTGTTCAATGAATCTAATCAAAAGGATGGTTCCAGACTATTTGGGTTTCAAAGCCTAAGGCCGTGTCTGAAACGGACTTCCAGAGCTACGGCTAGGTCTATCGTTAGTGTGCCATTGTGTATTTCTGATGGAGTAAATGCCTGGACTAGTTCCACACAACAGATTCAAATGTATCCTAACTTTCAGTTATTATAACACACCTTTTTAAATAATTCATTACACCTTTCATTTTGTTCCTGTTAGTTTTACTAACTAAGGTTCTGCTTTCAATTCAAAATGGACGACACATAAATACTGTCTATTGGCCAGATCTGATGTTTCTGACAGACGACTGTCCAGGTTCCTATGGCCAATCTCATAATTCCAACGAAGTGCAATAGGATCTCACAGAAACATCAGGCTTTTGTCCATTCCAATCAATGCAATCTTATCAAAACTGTCTACTGCATACTGTGTAACAGATTCAAGGAACCTAGACAAGGATAAAATTTTTTTTTTTATTTGAAAGTACACGATCATCTTTCCTGATTCATGCAAAGTAATGTCAAAATTGTTTCTATTAGCTCATTCTCAACACATCATAGACCCCAATCAATCTGTTTTACCCCTGCCCGAGGCTTTTTCTAACCTGGAAACGCATTCCATCTAATAGTTAAACTATCCATTCAAATCTGGGCTCCAAATGGTCAAAGACACACAAGACATCTAAGGTTGTTTAAACTTGTTTATGTATTCTTCACCCCCCTGGAAATCTACCTACTTTGATCCATTGCCCTTTCTGGTTCTTTATACACATCCCTACTATCTAACTCCCCCCACCCAAGTATAAACCACGCCCTTCCACATTCCCTTTACCTTTGTCTGGGGCTCTTGTTGGTCTTAAGACACACCCCACCCAAGGCACACAGGAAACCAGTCATATTCTGCCACTCCTGAAGACGAACGGTCACAGACAGAGGGTTGGAATGGTGGAGAAGAAGCGAAGGGCTCAGACACCCGCATGACTACAAGAAGACGGAGGCAGGTGAAGCGAGGCAGGTGAGTGTGTTTGAGGGTGAGGAGGTGGTGGTGAGGGAAGGAGAGACAGAGCAAAAAGCAAGATGAGATACTGCATGAAGCATGATCACCACACACCACACACACCGTTTACCTTCTATACCTAGTGTGGATATTTGTTTGTTTTCATTCCGATAAGAAATCTTAGTGAAAATACTCACATTTCTTGCTTTTTAGCTGGATTTTAAAAAATGTTTTAACTTTTCCTCTTCCTTTTGCGACAAATAATACTAACCCCAAAATGCCTTTGAACCTTTTTTTGGAGGAGAGAAGGTAAATCCACAGGTTGTTTTCCCTTTCTGCACTGTATGGTCATCTTTTAAAAGTCCACACTAGGTACATTAAAGGTTAGCGCGCACACACACACACACCCATCTTGAATGCGGGTGTGAACGTTGGTAACACAGCATTTAATGGAAATGGATTATGGCATGTTGTGAGCAACTACTAAAGATTAAAATTATCCACTTGCTTCATCACAAGCTCTTCCTGCTCAGAACTTCTCCAAGTGGAAACTGGCAGACCTCATTTTAAATATACAGAAGAACACGTTTCTGATTGGACCACTTGTCTCACTACCGGTATCTATGAGGGAACAGCCTACTCCAGCTTGGATAGATTATGGTGTAAACTCTGCACATTTACCAGGAGAAATATTTCTTTATTCCAAAAGAATTGGAAAGTTTGGAGGGTTGAGATGCTCTCTAACTGGTACCCTGCAGACAAAAACTTGCCAATTTTGGTGGAAGATCTCAACATGTACTACCGCTTAGCAACGGCCAATTATATACGTGTACTGCTGGTATGCATCACTGTGAACACTTTACAGAAGTCTCAAAAACCAAGTTACCAACCAAACATCTAGTGATGTATGTGTGTACAGCTTGTGAAAGAGTTCGGGAAAAAGGTTTATTCTGGGTTTGGTTTTGGTTTGGGGGTTTTGGTCCTTAGCATTTGGTGTTTGGTTGGTGGGTAGTTATAAGGCACACAGGTTGATCAAACAGTCACAGTTAATTTATATAGAGAGTCAAATTTCTTTATCTTTCTCTATAGTTTGTTAAACTACGGAAAAGGTGGGCGGGGAAAGATGGAGTTGAGGCAGGGCCTGCTACATGTTACATACTCATAGCTTCCATCATGAAAAATGTTCCCATCACCACTGACTAGTGAGTGTTGTTAGGATGTGTATGCAGGTAAAGCAGCTTTTCTTTAGCAAATGAAGATATGCCTGCATAGCTACCCATAATCCTGATTCCCCTGCACAAGTAAAGGCATACACTCCACCACAAATTATGCATCAGTTGCATAATTTGACATTATAACAACAAAGAGAAATTGATTTTATTGCCTCTTTAAATCAGAGGGCATCTCTACAGCTAAAGCAAAAGTTCTTTCCCATATTTGCTGGAACAGCTCGTTTTCCTTAATATTTTGTCCTTTTTGACTATTTTCCTTGACAATGCTAAGCTATCCCCCGTGTAGTTTTCTGAGAAACCAACGTCAAAGATGTTAAACAAATCTCCCAACATCACATAACCTCAGAATGCCAGTCTACCAGCTATCATAGGATTCAACAGCACATTGTCTGATCGCACATAGTTCTACTAATTCAACACCTGTTGCAACTTGCTGTAATATGCAGGGTGACAGGTTACAGATAAAGCTCGTGGCTTTTTCAACAAAGCTGATTTGAAATGACAATTACTAGCAGTATTGCAATTTATCTGGTTTTTCAAATTGTTTTTATAAGCATTCCTAGGAATTTCAAACAAACATGTTTTAAGCAATGCGGCCCTTCATTTAAATGACAGTTAAGCACAATGAAGAAAATAAGTCCCTATCTTTCTCAAAATAGCTCCGAACTTCACAAAATTGAAATTACAAAACTTTTCATTCCCCACAAAAAGCACAAAATAAGCTGGGCTTTAGCTCAAAGCTGGCATGAAATTCCACACAAAGGCTGATTAGTTTGTCCAGCCAATCAAACTAAAGCACCTTGCACACAGAAAACTCTTTATAAAAATACATATATGGAACAAACAGAAAAGTATCACAAGTGAGCCGAAAGCACAAACAGGAAAGGTACAGGACTTGATGCAGATTAAGTGATGAAAACAATGCACAGTTGGGAATAAATCACACAAAACATGTTAAAATAACTAATATGGATAGGAGCTTTTATTACGCTTTCTACAGCTGCATATTATCATAATATGTCGTGAGGATACACTGGTTCCTACATGAGTATTATGCAAGAGAGCTGTGAATTCTTCACTAAATGAGTAAGTGAACTCACTGGTTTCCTTTAGCAATGAAAATGTTTATCAGATTTACAATTTCTTTGTCAAAAACTAGCTTCCCAATCTAGGAAACAAAAGCACGATTTACCTCAGAACTGGCGACAGGAAATTTGGGCCTTGCTCTCTCAAGGGTATAATCACAGTGCTGTAGTAAACCCATCACAACACCAGACAAAGAAAAAGTCACGAGACAAGTCACAAGACAAGACACAAAGACAAGCCACAAGACAAGACACAAAGACAAGCCACAAGACAAGACACAAGACAAGTCACAAGACAAGTCACAAGACAAGCCACAAAGACAAGTCACAAGACAANAGACAAGTCACGAGACAAGTCACAAGACAAGACACAAAGACAAGCCACGAGACAAGCCACAAGACAAGTCACAAGACAAGTCACAAGACAAGACACAAAGACAAGCCACAAGACAAGTCACAAGACAAGTCACAAGACAAGTCACAAGACAAGTCACAAGACAAGTCACAAGACAAGTCACAAGACAAGTCACAAGACAAGTCACAAGACAAGACACAAAGACAAGCCACGAGACAAGCCACGAGACAAGCCACGAGACAAGTCACAAGACAAGTCACAAGAAAAGTAACAATAAGGACAATGAAATGCTTTTGCTGAAGTTTACTTGAATAGTTTGTGACTTGAATTCGGCCAGGTCTGGTGTTGGTATTGTGATGGTTTCAAGGGGTCTTAGCTACAACACCATCTGCACACGTACCACAAGGTTTGAACACCTGTAACTTACCTCCAATTCATGCTCTTGTGTTGGGATGGTATGGTGTGATATACGCCTACGAATGCTACCTCGCCCTTCCAATGTCTGGCTATCCTCCCCCCGGCCCTTATTACTAAGTAACTGTTTGGTGATGGTTTCCCAGCGGGCGTAGGTTTCCCTCCAGGACTAGCATAAAAAAGTCAACAACAAAATGTTGAAAAATGGCTTTATGTCTTATAACCAAAGAGAAACAAGTTGTATGCACCTCACATTGAAAACAATAGTTTTGTTTTCAATCACTGTATATTTTTCTTCTTTACTCAATATCGTTATAAACCCCTTGAGGAACTGTTCGTAATTACCTGTATATTTCCCTCTGTGACATATTCTATTCTTCTCAGCAGAGCAAAAATCCTCTTCTGCAATGCCGCCCTCTCTATTAAAAAAAAACCAAAAATAGCACTGATGAATTTTATAAACCTATAAAGATGAAATAAACAAGAAAGTCTGATTGTTCTTTGGAATTCTTCCACAAATATTTGGTGACACATTTAATATTTTTATTCATTTCAAAAAGTTTTTTTTAACTGAGGACTTTCGCCAATTGAGGATCTAATGCTATTTTATATGGACCCCAAATCTTGTATGTCTCAACACTGTCTTCACATCTTTCATGAGGCACCCTTTTTTTAACCGAATCCTAAGAAACATCAGTTTGCCTTGACAAACACTTCGAAGTTAAGCCTCCATTATGAAATACTTTCTGAGATCCTTCTAAGTGAACCAAATACTTGGAATTTGACTTATGATAAGAGTACCTTGAGGTCCAATCCCTACAGCACTGGCAAGATCTGAGTAGACATTATGGTTAGGTAGCACCTGGGTCAGAGTATAGTCATCAGAACCACAGCAGATCTCGGCTTCCTCACAGAGCTGTCCGAAGCAAGAGAGAGCAGTCAAGACGGCCTCCTGATCACAGCTCCACAGATTCATGAAGAACACACACTAAGAGGACAAGATATCAAAGAGGAGGTCATTATCTCAGGTGTCCTTGGATCGGGATGGAGTAATACCTAACTACATGCATTCACAACAAAAAAACCTGGCATAGAGACGCTGATCCAGGTTGAAAGGCATTCACAACCTGTCCCAAAACATAGGGGCCAATTTCATAGAGCTGCTTCAGCAGCAAATTTTGCTTAAGGCATGAAAAAAACCTTCCTTAAAAAACAAAGATTGTCAGCTCAAACTCTATGTGATTGTCATTCTAACTAACAGACAGCTAAATATCATTCCAAAACAATAAACGTCACATGGTGTTTGGGCTGATCACCTGATGTATCAAGCAAGATTTTTTCAAGCTTAAACAAAGTTTGTGTTAATAAGCAGCTCTAAGCGAGATTCTTAACAAAAATTACAGCTAAACTATAAAAAGCAAATTATTCAACTCTCTATAATATAGTTTTCATTTTGCCTTTTTTCCCAAGATATTTGTACAGTTTTCACAATTTTGCTCAATTTTTTACAATTTAAAGTGGTCTATGTAGAAAAAAGCTTCCTGAGGGGACTTGTTTGTCAAGACCTCGTAGCACTGAGTCATCCAGATGATCTTTCTATGACAAGAATTTACCAGAATGCAAGTCAGAATGGATTTGTTATAACCAAGACTTACCTCCAATTTATCCTGGGCCTCTCTGGTGCGTGGAATGTTACAGTCGACCGTGGCGTGGTCTTTGTACTTGTTTAGGAAACAGTTTCGCAGCGACAGTACCTCGCTCAGCCATTTCAAGACCTCTGTGCCGTTAAGGATCTGACATGAGACAAGCTTCTGGGAAACAGAAAACAGCATTTGAGAGCTGGAAGAAGAAAAAACAAAGACCGCATTATTAACATGGAGGAACAATTTCACTGAGATAAAAAACTTCTCACACCATTGACACGAATATAAGTGGGGTCTTATATAATTTGGCACTGACGTACAGGGAAAAAGGAATGGATCTTCGAAGCTCTTTCAACACAGAGAGAGACAATCCAGCTGCTAAAGTCCCAGTATGATACACTGGTGACTCCAAATTCAAATCAATCTCAAATCCTTTTCTCAGTTTACCAAATAGGAACTTAACTGGGCCTAATGCTGCCAAATTGAAGAAGAGCAACTTTAAAAAGACCGTTTATCATTGTATATATTAAATCGAACACTGAATCCAGGGTTGTCTTTCGATATGCAGTAAAACCTTCAAGATCTGACAATCCATCCAAGGCTTTCTGCAATGTACTCTAATTTCAAGACAATAATAACCCTCTACCCATTACAGTGGAACGCCGCTATACCAAACACCACTATACCGAACATTTGGCTGTATCGAACATCGTCCTTGGCTCCCAATATTTTGTGCACAAAACATACCAAACACTATGCAGTTGCCATTTGTAATTCCCAACGTCAACTTGATAGACCAGTCAAGCTTTATATGTTGGAAAGTGACAAGTGGCCATTATTTCCCCAAGGATTAGCGGGGAAAGCCACTAGTTGTTGAAGAGTTAATATTAATGGGTATCGGTACAATGGTCCGCACGTGTTCAAAGTTGTCTTCTAGTAACGGCGAGGGCATGCACGGTTAATCTGCCAAAGGTATTGAATGGACACTGGTTTTGCGACTCCGCATATGTGGCATTACACTAACATTAGTCTAAAGAGGGCGCCCCCTGATACACAAGCCACCGAGATTCGCCACAGCATGCATCTGATAGTTTCACGACTTTTAGGATAAACTTGAAATCAATTTTGCAACTTAAGATTTAATAAAAAACAAAAATAATTAGCAGATACATTTTTAAAAACCTTCACCCCTTCGCGACAGATGACGGTAAAGAGCCGCCGTAAAAATTGCATTCCTCAGCTCGCTTTTCAGCTATTATTCTCAGCCGCTCGAGCGAACACAGTGAAAGAAGGCAGACCCTGGCTCTTGTATATATGGTAATTGGCCTTTGTGTGTAGCGCAGAAATATAAACACCGAATTTGCATCATAATCACCAGCTTCACAATAGTCCTCACTTCGAAAAGAGGTAACAGGAATGTGGAAGCACGAATAGAGCCGCATGCCACCGAACAATCAGCCTTTTCACCATGTAATTCAAAGCATGCAGAGCACGCAGGGCCACAAACCAAGAATTTGCAGTTTGGCAGGTGGCCTTCCTGGCCAAGCGAGGCCGGAATTCTCGGAGTTGGCTTTCAGAAAGAAGTTCTTGTCGTCAAGGGGTTAAACGTGAATGCAACGGCAAAACATCACAAAAACAGCGAACCATAGTATCACAGTATCAACACGGCGACAAAAAATTTTGCTACAACGAACGACCACTGTACCGAACATTTAGTGTGGACCCGTCGTGTTCGTTACAGCGGTGTTCCACTGTAAATAAACTCCCATTATGCCAGCCCCTAACCGTCAGTTTTAATTTTGACTCTTAGCTTTCGAGTGATCTTAGTTACTAGTTTATTTTGCCATCTTTCAACCCATAGTGGCACATTTGGTTAAAATGACACCTTTTTCCTTGCCTTATATCCCAAAATGTAGCGATTGGAGCTTCTCTGTTCCAGAGCTCAACGTTCTCTGGTTGGTGGAGAGTCAACAGTGCCCTCATGGCTTCATGAGCAATGTTCGGTATGGTACTGAACATGTACATCAACGTGACTAAGCCTCGGATGAGGTTGCCTGTACTGCTCTGGATCTCATGGCCTGCACCGTCGGGATTCTAAAATTGAAACAACAGTGAAGTGAGAACGTTTGGGGCATGTTGTCTGGTGATTAGGGTTTGTCACTCCCAATGACAGGGTCAGGGGGCCCATACGGTGACCTGTGGCAAGTCACTTCACCCCACTGGCCTCTCTCTATGAGGGTAGATATAGCTATTGTATTGGATTAGTCATTTGTACCATAAGTACAAATGGATGAGGAATGGGATTTGGGTATCAAGATCTAAGGATAGAGTTGAGTAGGGACACAGCAAGAACAGCCTCTGATAGAACTTACATGCAGCATGAGTTTAGGGTCAGCATGGACTAGTCGCACCAGCCATAGCAGTAAGGTGTTGGGTACCTCCTCACTGGATTTCTCCTTGAACTTTCGGACTGGTTTCCTGTAGACATTTATAAGTGTTGTCAAACTCTGAAAAGACAAAAGAACATTAAATGTTAAAAAATCTTACAGAATGTGAAAGTTCAACAGAGCCTGAGCAAATCTCAGAGAAAGTGACAGATTCCAAGAGAATGTGACAGAATCTCAAAGAATGTGAGACTCCAACAAAATCTGACACAATCTCATCGAAGAATTTAACTGACCACAAAAGAATCTGACAGAATCCCAGAGTGTGACAGATTCTAATTCTAAAAAGAATTTGACAGAATCTTGAAGAATGTCACTGACTCAAAGAGAATCTCACAGAATTTCCAACAATCTAATTGAAAGGCTGTTAGTACAGGTTTTCTAAACTGCTCAGATCAACAACAGTGAACAAAAAATGTCAGATTCAATGGGATTAGATAGTTAATAAAGAGATAAATATGTACTCAGCTGATCTTAAATTTGCTCATTTAAGACTGCATCCGGAGAATGGGTGCTACTTCATGGCCCTATACTGCTGAACAATTGTTACTTCATCTTTTCCAAACAGTGATGTTATGGTTATTCGCCTCTCATGAGTAGTCATAAACAATCTCATCTAAAATATTGAGAAAGCCTTGAAACAAAAATCTTGTTTTGATGGGATCAGCGCAAACATGGATATTTGGGTAATGAAATTCTGGAAACTGAGTTTTACCACCATCGAGTATTATTTACTATAATGGCATTTAGCAGCTCTGTACTGATCCCATCAAAGTCAAATCACACATCAGTTGACACAGTTTGATGGGTTTGGAGGAACGAGGACCAACACAATTCTTCTCTGACACTTCATATTACCTGACTGCTTCGGATGGTGGTCTGACAATGACTGGTGACCTTTGACTGAGTCTCAGTGAAAAGGATCCGTAGAGGGCCTGGCATTGTGTCATAGACGACACTGATCCTGGGCCACCACTTCATATTGGACTGGAAGCAAGACATTCAAAAAGGAGTCGGCTATGGATCCAATGCAAGGCAAATAATAAACCCCGCCGGGGTGAGATTAAAGAAGGAGGAAAAATTCATGACACATCCCATCAGAGAGGAGGTAACAATGAAAACAACCAAAATAATTCCACTTTTCAGGGCTTTTAATGGACAAAAAGGGAAGAGCTTTCTCACAAATGGCTACCGATTTCAGGATAGGATCTGGCACTTTTTTGTACAAGGTGCAAAAGCTTGCATAACGTGGATGATCAAACCTTGTTAAATCCAGAATTTTTTTATGAAGATTCTGGGAGTGCCCTACCAGACTATGTTTTATCTCCCAATACACAACATACTGTGATATTTAACAAAATTGAGTGCACAGACCACAGAATTTGTCTGCTGACACTAGACTAACCTTTGTTACGATGGTGTGCAACGCTCGCACTAGCACCAAATGGAAATGTGGTGGGGCATTGATGGAGAGGCATGCATTGAAATGTTCACACTTGTCTGGGCGGAGTCGGAAGCAGGCTACAGCGCATTCCACCATCAGCTCGATATCAGCCGAGAAGTTGCCTGCACCACGGGAAAAAGGCTTAGCTGGGTTGAAAAGAAGCATCTGGTAGAGAAAAACAGAAAGGATTTTAAGGCAAGCAGCCACACTGGTGTAGTGGTTCCTTCCTGGCTTTTCACTTCTGCAGTCAGGGTTCAATTCCTGGCCTGGGTCACATTGATATTGGGGTTTCAGTTACCAGCTGATTCTGTGGGTTTATCTTAGAATGTTCCTCTGGGATTTTCCTCCCACCTTCAAAACTGCTTCTTACTGTCTCCTCTCTAAAGAAATCTTCAACATTATATGCTACGGTGCTTATGATATGTTCAAGGAATCCATAGTTTCATGACCAGAAATGCTCAATGCTATAATAACACCCAACCAAAATGTGTAGTAAGTAGAGGTAATTTATCAGCATTTGCAGAGCAGGTCATGTGAGTTTGATACGGAGACATGAAGAAATCCAGCATACCTTGAGGTCCAGCATGAGCTTGTTGACCAGTTTACAGAGCACCGATTTCTGCGGGTTGCTGACGTAAGACGCAGCCTTGCAAAGCTTGACGCTGGACACGACAGCGCATTCAGTCATCTGCTTGTTGCTGCCAGGAGAGCACAGCGACTTCTGCAGGTTGTCTAGGAACTGCTTTTTCTGGAGCAGTCTAGGGGAAGGGTTGGGATGATAATTGGTGGTGCTGACAATCTCATTCATCAGTACCTGCAACAAAATAAAATAATAAAATATCACAACTAAATTACTCCTAACCCTAAAAACTAAACAAGATCTGAACAGTCAGACTTGTCAATGGCCAACATCTCCTGCTCTCTGTGTACAGCATGTGTACAATGCATTTCATACATTTTGCATTGAACATTTTCAGTATCATTCTTGAGGAAAGGTTCCTGGAATTACAAATTCCTTCCAGCAAAGTGTGGGTCTTGGCAATTTTGTTTACATAGTAAATGTTACGGCACAGCAAATTACTGTAAAATTACTTCTTTTAATTCTCTGGTTAATGATGCACTCCACCATTCTCAAAAGCAAGCTTACAGGTTATGCAGAAAAAAAATTTGCCTAACTGACAAGGCTGTAATCAAGTCCAGATAACTTAAATTATGAGTCATTGGTGTGATCTAGCACCCGAGCAGGCTTTGCTCACAGTTGCATTGTACACCATTCGTCGCCTCTACACAGCCTTGTCAAAAACATGTCCAGAATCTGGACTCACTGGGCAGAGGATGAGTAGCATGACCTGTAGGAGCCAGACTGAGCTTTTCCTCTTGGCTGACTGCATTTCAGGTTGGCTCTCAGCCATGTCAAACAGCTTCTCACAGCAATCTAGAGATGAAAAGGTATTACCAAACAAAATAACCAAATGCTCAGTTGAAAAGTGGGCAAGTTCACTAGTTTCTTACAAATACAGCGGGAGACTTTGAGACGTCTGCAGGCAACAAACATATCCGTCGGAGCATATGTGCTGTTCTGAGCATTAATTCATAGTTCTGAACACGGGCACTACATTGAAAAAAGACTGGTATGTCGACAGCCACCTGGGTTCTCAAAGTCTCCCATACATCCCCCTTGGTTTCAGACAAGCACATTTCAGAGACAAAAACAGAAGACAAAGGAAATCCTACTCAGCAAAAGGACTCAAACAGGAGTGATGCAAAAGCTTCCCAAGCAAAACGAAGGAACACACAAAAAAAAACCCTCACCTGAAGTGGAGTGACGGTGCAACAATAAAACAGTATACAAAAGTAATGCTCAAAATCAGAAATAGTTCTGATCTTTCAAAGGTTTCAATCCAAGCAGAATCATTCTCAACGACAAAAGACTGAAGGAAAAAGTAATGTTTGAGCTTCAACCTTGAAGGTACAAATGGTCCTATAAATGGGAAGCAATGTGAGGATACTTCCTCTTTGTTTAGATTTACCTTGAATTTCTGATTCATGAGAGTCATGTAACACCATGAACTCCTCAGGATAGTTGTCCATCCAGTTCCAGATTGCCTGAACACAACGGGACAAAAGTTATCAGCAACTCAAATGAATCCTTCTGGCAATCCTGCTGCTGAAGGAACATAAGCACAGTTTCAGTTGGGCACCTGATCCTCTGTATCACCGACTCCCTTGCCACATCAGCACTATCCAGGACTGCTCATCTTCATTGACAATGTAATGATGTGGTCCAGTGCACCAGTAATATCACCAAAGCCATGAAGGACAGGAGAGAGTGTGGATGAGTTTGGTTGCATCTATTTGGGATGCGGCAGTCAAATGATGATAGATCAATTTACGAATCACCCACCCGGTTATCTCACATAAATTCACACTGGGAGGAGGGCTTAACTTAGCTACACTTTTCAAAATTTGCCGAACTGCTACGCTAAGAAACTCAGACGAGCTTCAGAGTTTTCAAAAGTAATTAGACTATTTAATATGTACATGTATACAGACTGGAGAAATTTATTCTGACTTTTTTCTTTTGATAACTCTTTGAATTATTGCATCCTTTCCGGGAAATAATCGGTAGCCTGTTACTCAAGCTTCATTATCACCTTGACTATCGCACCTTGTGTGCTCCATGGGGAAGGTGGAGAGGTCAGTGGTGGAGAGGTCAGTGATGGAAAGGACATTTTGCAAACTTGTGAAAAAGTTGGAAAAAAAATTGATGATCCTTGAAACAAAACATTACAACAAACCAGTGGCACCATCTTTGAACTTTGACCTCAAATGAGACAATGGAAATTATACAAGTGATGATTGTTGGGTTCTTAAATGCATAACCTATCCAACTTCAGACAGGATTTGGTACAGAACTGTGCAGGATTCAAACTGGCTAGGAAAAACTAAGTCTTGATGGGTACGAGTCCTTCATTCAAAACATGCACATCTAACAGCAAAGGCAAGAAGCTCATTTTGAGCAACAACACAATGTTGGAGGATGACCTTATCAGTAGGGATCAACTTATGATCAGATCACACCGATGCTCACTAACATTGGCAACACATCAGATTGGCAGAATTCAATCTTCCTTGCCGATATGAGTGCCGAAGTTATTAACTGCAGAAATGAACAAACTCTACACTCAGTTTTGGCAAACACAAATCTCATATTATTACTTGAGCATGAATAAAAACTGTGGTTTTTCATTTGCTGAGATAAATAAAGTTACATCATTGTTAAGCCCACTTTAAGTATCCCTAAAAATTACATCTGCATGATCCTTGCCACGACAACTCCATGCACAGACTGCAGACCCAAGGAGCAGTCAGTGTACATGTGTACCATTGCCACTGACCGTCATAAAAAGAACCAGGGAACTACACCACGTGTGGCACCACGAGGTGCTGTGGGATCAGTCTGAAGGTAGCCCGCGATTTGGTCTTTACACAAGGCGCACTTGGCTACCTGGACACATGACGGGTACCTCTGCCGTTGGCAAGATGAAGACACCAACGCAAGTGGCAAAGCCAGGCACAGAGCATGGTTCACCAGTGCCCATGTACACCTTGACTAAAAGGCTAACGGTGATTCAGCCCAATGTGCTGTGTGTCTATTCTGCATGCACCGCTTACGTTGGGTGTGAAAACAACGGAGCATTGTTGGTATCGTGTGGGCGGAGATGTGATGTACACAATTTATTCTCTCAAATCTGTGGCAATTAAGGCAAAAAACTAATCCTGCTACCAGTAATGTGTAAACTGACATTTTAAATTTTAAAGCAAGTACGCTGATTTTGTGTTGTTATGAGCAGGCCTACATGTACATACATCCTGTTAAGGTTGCATTTTCCGTTTAATACTGTTTATAAAAATCATCGAATTGGACATCAGCCAATGTTCCGATTAAAGCATCGCACATCGGATTGGCAGTTAAAACCTACATCAGTTGATCCCTATTTATCAGGACAAGGGACTCAATCAATTAAAGCCCCTAAACCAGGAAACACAGTTTTACCTTTTCAAGGCTGACCACAAGAGTTGCCATCACACTCTTCCTCAGCATGGCAAACTTGCAGATAGTTTCTAAAAACAAGGTGCATCAAGATGTCACAAGACGTTTGCAGCGAGAATGCATGTACTGAAATGTATTCAAGGTTTGCAAATTGGCAGCACAAATGTCTGATCTGACATCCCAAAAATGCACAGGTGTTTGCTTTTGTGCTGTAAAGGAATTGGCCTTCACCATCGTACCGATGAAGACAGCACACAAGCGGTAATTCATCTTGATGTATAAATGTCATGAAACCATACTTGAGGCTGGTCATAGGGGACTTGTACATGTCTATTGTGGACCATCACTATAGTGTTGGTGCATGCAGCTTGCAAAGGGCTGTGCCATGCTCTAGTATCAGATTGTAGGCCTGGTGAGGCTGTGCTTGAAATGGTCATGGCTGCGGCTACTCACTGTAGCAAGTCAGTGGCACAAGCTGAAGCCACATCTATAGGGTACCTGATTCGGACAGGACCTGGCAGCTCATTTTATTCGAACAACTCACCACAGCTATGGCATTTGTAATTCCAGAGACATTAAACTCTACCCCCTTTGGGTATTCTCTAAGCACCCTGCTGAACCCAACAGAACCCAATGACAGAAAAAGTGTGAAGCCCTCTCAACCTAACAGACTCCAACAGCTGGAGCAAAGCTCAGATCGACAAAATCTCATAGGAAGATACTGCTGCTGGATATCGTTGGGTTTAGCAAGTTTTGGACTAATCAATCAAGATCTATGGAGGTCACAGAATTTTGTCATCATACCAGTTAGAAGTCTGGTCAATCTTTTACAGTCCATATTGATGTGTTGGATGAGTTCAATGTCGGACTCATCTCCAGATTCATCGGTGATTTTGGCAAGGGCATCCAGCCTGCACACAGAAAAGGGAACAGATCGCTCAATCGATATATCGCAAGAAAAATATGGAACTGCAGTAACATTTTCCCTGGATGGAAACATCAGGCCCTGCTAAAGGTTACAATCAAACATTCAGCGAGGGATGGTTCAGTTGGAAAAGACATCAAGGGTTTCAGCTGTAAGTTGCCAAATGAATAACGTCTACAAAAATTGACAATACATGTAATTCTGTGCAAATGATGACAAAAGCCTCTCTAGCACTGGATAAAACAGTGGTTACACAAATGTATTAATGTTTACAGCTCAATTTTTGTCCACTATTTTGAATTTCTGGCTGGATCCAGGCACATATACGGCATTCAAGCAATCTCAACTTGGAGAAAAAATGACACATTTCAAAGATTTCAAGTTTTGTTACCACAATGGTGACACGAAGACCCACCTTGCATATATCCGGCTGAAGACTGCATTGAAGTTGTTCAGGCTGAGAGCAAAGATGACTTGCGAGGCAGACATCTTGAGTTGTGTGGTCAGCGGGTGTTCACTAGAGATGTTGAGAAGCTGGCAAACCTCAGGAAGGAGCGACTTGACCAGCATCGTCTCATTGGAGCGAGATGTGTCTTTTGGTTGCTGATAAAAAATCAAGAGGCAGCATTGTATTCCTTAAGTACATCTTCAAAGTTGGCAGGTTCTCCAGGTTTCTGAGCCATTAAATCTCTGTAAATGTCCCCCACCATCCCAAGACTTTTTCTTGGCCTAACATGGTGACATCACACCTTGTTCACATATGTGCTTTTTCCTATGATAGTATGGTTGAACACAATCCATCGAGCCCACATAGGAAAAAGTACACATAAACAATGCCTGATGTCATTATTTTTTAGGTCCGTTGACAGACTGACAGTCACCATTTAGGGTGGATTTCTGCCTAACATTATCTGGGAATGTCTAGGAGATCCATGAGCTTACTGCTGAGAGGCATTTTTCCAGAGTATCCAGGACGATGAGCTGAGATTGATGGAGCAGCTTTGCTTCTTCCTGGCCGAGGGGTTTCTGTCCAAGAACCAATCCAAATTGCTGCAAAGTTAGTTTTGTTTCTTGCATTTTCCAGTATGGAACATTCTTTTTGACAGTTAAGAACAAATCACGAACAAACTACACAGGGAAACTGACAAGGTGCTTACATGTACATATCAATCATAAAACTGAACAAAGAAAATGACTGGTGTGGGATCTGAACCTTCAAACTCTTTGAGCATTTTACTGGCTCTCTACCGACTGAGCTGCCCAGCCCAATAACAATTAGGAGGAGCCCCCTACACAGGACTAGGTAGCTCTCTTGGTAAACCACACGTGCAGTGTTCCTGAGGGTGCTGGTTCAAATCCCATTCCATTCATTTTCTCTGTTTATCTTTATATTGACCACACAGTTGTGTTTCACTACCACAACATGGAATGACAAAGGCATTTACTAAAGTCCCTATGATACAGTTCTCTGAAATAGACAAAGCACAGATACTTTTCCCTTTTCATATCTTCAATCTAAGGTCAAGCAAAGTATATACAAAGCGTTGGTTACACCACGCAGTGACACATACATGTAGGACAGCATTGCCGCACCACAATAGGATGAAGCATCCACAGATTTTGTAAACACAAAGCTTCGTGCTGAAGCAACTATCCACGATGCGTCGATTCATGATGTAACCCACAAAACAATCATTTCTATGTTAATGTGTAAACATCAAACACTGATTTTTCAAGCTTAGGGGACACCCAAGAAAGATATATCTAAAAATGAATGTCTGCCACATACACACAACTCAATAAATTGAAAGGTTTGTAGGAACTACATGATGAAAGTACTGACAAAGAAATCTAGTGACTTTAACACTAAAGACCCAAGCATCTTTGCGAAGGATCTTGGTGAAACCCCCCCCCAAAAAAAAATTACAACTGTGCAAATCTCAACCTAAAGACGAGCTGGTTTCAAGTCAGTGTTGCAGTTGAGACCTCTTAAGACCATCACAAGACCCCCAAAAGACATGCAGTCTAAATTCAAGTCACAAGCTGTTCAAATTAACTGCACAAAAAAAGCATTCCTTTGTCACTGTTCACCCTGTTACTTGTGACTGGTCTTGTGATGACCTCAATCGCAACACTGTTTCCTTTATTTATATATAACGGGT